TTGTCATCACTCGTGGGGAAGAGGGAAAGGAAGACGAAAGGCAGGCGAAGGTGTTGATGGGGGGTGAGTCGGGATAGGCGGGAAGAAGCGTTCCAGCTCATCGTCCGTTTTCGGAAGGCTCCGATGATGGACGATTCTATGGAAGYGGGGAAATCGGCGGCCAGTAGTGGGGAGAGAAGCGAGGTAGTCGGGATAGAGAGTGGTGAAGGTTCTAAGAAGCGTCGCGCGAAAGCGGTCGCGGTCAGCGCATGCGGGGATTAACCCTGTGATGAGGCAATAAACCTCTACGGTGTTGATACGACGCCATCCAACGCTGAAAAGAAGTACATGGAGAGGGAACTCAGGGGAACCACGCCGGGAGAATGAGTGGGGATGGACTGTGACAGAGAGACGGATGGAGAAGTAGTGATGGAAAGTGTCGCGGGGGAAGGGATTGTGGGGGAAGACGGCAGGGCGGGTGAGCTGGCGCAAGGTGAGGAAGTTATGGGGGCGGAGAGAGAGAGCCCGAGGACGAAGACCGATCGGCCTCATCGCCGTGTGCTCGAAGTGCGGGACGGGTCGCGAGGGAGAGGGAGGCGGAGGGGGAGGTGCTTCGTCGTCGGCGTCGCGGTGGGGAAGGAGGCCGGCGAGTGGACGGCCCAGCCATCTAGGCCACATGGCCGTCGTCTGGCTGAGGTGGCTTCGGGTCGAGCGTTGGATCGTTGCTGATCAGAAGATCAGCAACCGGCACAATTTCTAGCTGGGGACCCTCGTCGGCGTGCTCTTCGTCGTTGTCGTCACCGCTTCCTTGCTTGCTGTCTTCCTCTTCTGCTTCCTCCTCGCTCTCCGTTTGCAGGAGCTCTTCTTCGTCTTCTTCTCGCTGTTGTGCCGACTCCCCTTCGTCTTCGTTCAGATTCCCTTCCTCTTCCTTCGAACTTTCTTCCGCGAGCTCCTCGCGGATTATCTCCTCCAATTCGTCTTCGTATGGTGGTCTATAGAAAGCGGGATCCACGATGTCGCGCGGATCCAAATAATCCAGCCGTGAAGGCGGAATTCTCGATGGAAAGCCCTCCACACAAGCTGACCACTGAAGATACGATGACAGCGTGCACGAGGTGACGTGGGGCACCAAGCGCGGGTCGACCTGGGAGACAATGCTGACGTCAAGATCGTCGGCCAGCTGCGCAATCGGGACCGTAAGCTCCTGGGTGAGAAGCCTCTGACACCCTGGACGCACTGCCCTGAATAGAAAACCAAGAAGGTCCCCCTCTACTTCTGTCCGCCACGCCTGAATCACAAGGAGCTCCAATCGCTCAGACCGCGGATAATTCCTCTTGTCCCTCGTCCACGTCACCCGTACTTCCGCCAAACACAGTAAGAGTTCCATGAAGTCTCTGCGCCACGCGTCCCACTGGGAGGGATCGAGGACAGGAACAACCAGAGGATTTATGCAGAAGGAGAGGCGGGGATGAAGATCAGACTGCCAGAAGGTGGGGAAGGAAGAAGGAAGCTCGAAAGTAGAGATCGGGAAGGAGCTCATTGGGGATGGATGGGGATGAGAGGGGGTAATTGCGTCGGCGGGTCACGCCGATCTAGCCGAAGRCCRTTGTATTCGATYGCTCGGATTGGTGTRATCACGTCCCCTTGGTGCGCCAGGAGCTGGGTCCACTCGTTCTGAAGATTGYGCWCCCACAGAAGCAACGTCGCCTTGATTCTCGTGTGTCGGCAGGGGGGGATCGCCGTGAGATCTCCACTGAAATTAACCACCAACGTTATCCGGYCGACGCCYGCAGATGCTCGCTGTCGCAASCCGACAGCTTCGGCCAATATGATCGCGTCAGCCCTCCCGTMGACGTGGATCTCTGYTGCCGCGTAGACGCCCTTCGAGCARAAGAATTGYGCAAGCCGCTGAAGGTCCGGACTGAGACGAGGATGATGCACCTGCCGCCGTGTCAAATTCCCACGTGCTACCAGCGCTTCTTCACTTAGAGCTCTCTCCTCCATARAGCTCATGGCGACGGCGAGGGTGACGGCGTATYCGACAGGGATTGAGAAGGARWAGGAGATGCAGAGGAGATAGAGTYGTCGTCGGGAGAGGTTGATGGAGAAGGAGACGRAACAGAGGRAAGAAGAYRGAGATAGGACACRTGGCGTGTGATCGGGCGAGCCGATCGACTGCCGAAAACCTCGGGAGCGAGGCGCACGGTGTCCACGCCGTTGGGTCCGAGTTCAATCACTTGATAYTGTCCGAAGAATMGTGGCGCTAGTTYACCCTGGCGCGCACATTTCCTTACCTGCACGATGTCCCCTAACTTATACTGGGTCCTGGGACCCGCATTCCCGTTCCGGGCCTCGTAACTCCGGACCTGTCGGCCATGGGCCAATTCRRTGGACCGTTRTCGCTTCCGGGCCAGTCTAGGTAAGGACCGCTCCATGAGTTCCAGGTGTCTTTTGGCTTTGTCCCGAGCGGTGGCCCTTGTGGGGCGTCGGTTGAGTCCCGATTCGTCTGGGAGGCTCGGTATCGACACACACNGTTCCAGGTGTCTTTTGGCTTTGTCCCGAGCGGTGGCCCTTGTGGGGCGTCGGTTGAGTCCCGATTCGTCTGGGAGGCTCGGTATCGACACACACGCGACACTATTGGTCCGTAACTGGAAGGGGCTTAGGCCCGTCGATTCGTGGGGCGTTCCGCGATGGACCGCCAAGATGTGGTCGACGATATCAGGCCAGGGTCGGGGGTCTTTATCACCCTATTCGCGTTTTCCACTAAGCCGTTAGACTGGGACATGTGCGGGGCCGTGTGTCGTATGGAGACGCCGTGTATGACCAGGTTCCTCTCGACTTCTCCTTCAAATTCGACCCCATTGTCGGTCAGGATTTCTTCAGTGTCCTGGTGCATGCCTAGAAAACGGTTGACGTACCTCGCGATTTTCGCGGCTTGTCGTGTCTTGCAGGGGTAGGCCTCGATCCACTTAGAGAAGTGGTCGACGAAAACCAGCAGAATTGAATAGTCGCAACTATTCGGTCCTGGGGGCACCACTATATCAGTAGTATCCATACTAACCCTCTGAAATGGCCTTTCAACCACAGTTGGGACTATCGACCTAGGCGGTTGGGTCGGGGCCTTGTCAGCAGCGCAAACCTGGCAGTGTTGGACGATGAATTTAACGTCGTCCCGGATATTGGACCAGTACCATTGATTACTGTCAATCGCAGCTTCGGTAATACGCACGGCAAAATGCGCCGCCATCTCCTCGTGGGCTGTCCGTACCCATTCGTACCTCATAAATGGGTGCGGAACTACTAACCATGCCCCACTGTCGTCTGTTTTACGCTTTTCTAACCGTCCGTCCACCCATCGGTGATCCCGTGCTCTTTCATTGGCCCTCCTCCAATCCTCTTTGGAGAAGGTTTCAAGGGAGTTCCCTACCACAGTGGCTATCAAGGCAACATTTGTCCAGACTTCCGCTCTTCTGAATTTCTGAATTTTGCCGGGGCCTTCTGACATGGCATCGAGGAATCGGGCTTCCGTCGAAATCTTGTCAGTACGACATAAGGGGCAGAACCAGGGTCTATCTTTATTCCGATACTGTATGCACGCACCATGAGCACGTGCGACACATTTCCGACAGTCTACCCATTCAACATATCCCCTTCCTTTAGGACACATGTGGACGGAATAAACTCGAGAGATTGCCTCGCAGAAATAACAAAATTTGTCGGGGAGAGAGGCGAAAGAAGAGGATGGGGAAGAAAGAGATGGAATCTGGGACTTACCGCCGTCACCCATTGCCCTTCACCGGCTTCCTGCCACGTGGGATAACCACAATTTCTCCGTACTTTGGATCGTTATTGATGTCCAGGTCCTTCCACGGTGTGATTTCTTCCGCCTTTGGTACTTTACCGGGTCGGTGCAAACGTGTCAGTCCGTCGGCGTTGCCGTGTCTCTCCGTTTTTCGATGAACAATGTCAAACTCATACTCTTGCAACCGCACTGCCCATCGTCCGATCATGCCCGTGTAGTTGGTTAGCTTTTTCAGAGCCAACAGAGGTTCATGGTCGGTGACGAGCAGAAACTTTTGACCGTACAAATACGGGTGGAAGTGCTGGATACCCCACACTACCGCATAGCATTCTCCTTGTGGCGCGGAATCGTTCCGTTGCTCGTCTGGCACCGTCCGGGAAGCATACTCAATGACATGCTCCTCTCCATTGTTTCCCTTTTGTGCCAGAATGGCCGAAATAGCCTCCGGCTGCCAGTCGGTGATGAGAATAAACTGCCGAGAGGGGTCCGGTCAAATCAGAATCGGGGCCGTGACGAGAGCATCGTTCAGGGCCCCGAAGGCCTGGTCGCACTCATCATCCCAATGAAGGGGTTGTTCCTTTCGCTGCAGGTTTGTTAGAGGCCTTGCTATAGTCGCGAACCCCTTGATGAACCGCCGGTAATATGAGGCCAGGCCTAAGAAGGCTCGAACCTGCGTTAATGAGGTCGGAACCGAGGCCTCTTTGCCCGCTGCGACTTTTCGAGAGTGCGGTCGCAGGCCTCCTCGTGTCACCACATACCCCAAGAACGAGATTTCCGGGAGGAAGAATTCGCTCTTTTCCAGCGCAATCTTGAAACATGCGTCTCTCAACGCACCCAACGTCCATTCGATGTGCTGCGCGTGTCCGTGAAACGTGTCGGAGTACACCAGAATGTCATCCATGTACACGATGACACAGAAGTTAATCATCCCTTGAGTCAGCCGTGTCTTATTGACAGAATTCTGAAAAGTCACGTTCATCGCCCTCTGAAACGTGGCAGGCGCGTTGCAGATTCCCATCGGGCACCGAACCCATTGCCACGTGCCTTCAAACAAAACGAAGGCGGTCTTGGGCCGATCTTCTTCCTTCACCAAGATATGATGAAACCCATGTCGAATGTCGAATTTGCTGAAGTAGTTGGCACACCCGATCGCATCAAGCAGATCATCAATCCGGGGAAGGGGATACACATCTTTAATCGTGATGTCATTTAGCTTTCGATAATTGATGCATATGCGGACTGACCCGTTCCTTTTAGGAAACAATACAACTGGGAACGACCAGGGACCGGTAGCAGGCTCAATCCATCCGTTTGCCTCAAATTCCCTGATTCGCTGCAAGGTCGTCTTGCGCTCTGCCAACGAGTATCGGTACGGCTTGCAGTGGATTGGGGAATGACTCCCGGTCTGAATCTCATGCTGAACGACCACAGATAACCCAATATCGGCATCAGACACGCTAATCGCCCCTTGATATTCTATTAAAATATCAGCGATCAGCCGATGGATCTCATCAGGTACATAATGGGGCACATGCAATTCATACATTTGATCCAAGATCCAAACGTTAACATGCTTCGTGTGTATACGCCGAGTAGTGTCAGGCGGTGCGGATATAAAAGAGTGATCCGATCTCCAAGAAAACACAGTGGCCACCATCTGTGCTTCCTCCTCCCTGATCGCTGTATGACCTTCGGGGGTTATCCCGTCGCAGATGTCTCGCCAGGGCACGCTTTTGGGCGAGATTTTGATCTTGAGTTCCTCGGATCTTGCCTCGATGCGCTRAGGGGGTTCCAAAGAACCTGCTTCGGCTCYCAAACGYAACAACTGAACCACTTTTGCGRGCTGAAGCAGGGATCGAGGTAAGCCAGTGAGATCACAAAAGGAACGTTTGTCACTATACCGAGGGAGGAGGGGAGATACGCCGTCGTACAGTGTCCGAGGGGGTTCCAAGGAATCAACCAGCCTCGAAATCTGTACGAGAAGTTCTCCCATGATCATCATATGAGCATTCCGTGCGGTTAGATGCATGGTAYGCGCAATAGTGCGAGGCGGCGGGTAGTGAATTCGCTGCCGTACCAACCGTGTAGCGACTGGATCGTCATCGTCGTCGCTCCCCACGTCGTTCGATGATTGGTCTCCGTCCACAGGTGCACTCCAGGAGATCATGCGRAGCGCTCCCCTTGTTTCCGGAAAAACTCGGGGTACTACCTTAACCGATGTTTGAAGAGTTAATCTCATGGGTATTACATACGGCTTTCCCCCGGTATTCCGAAGAATGACGGATCGGCGTTCGAAGTCTAAATTAGCACGCAGCGCCACCAATGCAGGAAGCCCGAAAAGAACGYCATAYGTATTCACATCCAGCACCACAACATCTCCTAAAGCATGCACTTTTCCCAATCGGAACGCGACATTCGTCATTCGCCCTACTGYCTTGATCTTCTCCTCGTCAGCCGATAYGRGCTGGTCCTTCTCGGTCAGCATAATCAAATCATTCTTCCTACCCGCCCTCTCGACTACTCTGAGTGATATCGCTAGGACAGCCGCTCCCGAATCTATGATCGCACTATACGGCACTCCCCAGACTTCAATATCACATTCGGCTGATTTCCACGGAATCGGCTTGATCCGAAGAAAGTGGTCATCTTTCTGTATCAATCCGACTCGGATGGGGGGCGACGTCCGCCTTTTCCTCCGAAGTCGGTGCCTTCGCCTTCTGACCTTTTGCGCGTGCAAGGGCGAATCGCTTCCGGTTAGCTTTGCAATGCTGCATCATACGTTCGTTCGCCTGTTCCGAAATGGAGAGTAGGTGGCCGATTGGGAGAGGGATTCGATGATCCAGTGCTCGGGTAACCTCGAGGACGTCGCTTTCCCCTGTAACAAAGGTAGGGCCTCCCGTCTCCATTTCGCTCGACGAGGGCCTCCATTCAGCGACATCTCTGAACTCGAGTTCYGGTCGAATCGTCCCAATCATTCCCAGCCCCGGGTATCCTAGTGACACATACCGTTCCAGTGGGMTAAGCTCGACTGCTTCCTCACTGGAAATCATCATTCCGTTGCTCCCCCCTTGATCATCCATCACGGCTCCTACACGTCCTGGGCCGTTAGCTATGGGAGTTGCAGCTGCAGGCGCGACCCCGGTTTGAGGCTGCATGGCACGATGGGGGCAATCTCGGGCCAAGTGTCCCGGTTGATGACATGTAAAACAGGCATTAACTGCTGTTCCGGCTGGCCCCGCTGCAACTTGTGCAGCAGCCATGCCTCCCTGCATTGGTGCTCGCACCGCAATGGGTCGCATATTCCGCATCATAGTTTTTAATCGGGCGTTGTGCTCTCGTTGTTCCTTCTTGCTTTCTTGGATTAGACTAACCAATGTTTTAGTTAGCTCCAAGATAGCAGTAGACTCATTCGTTCTTGTGGATGACTCGATGGTGGGTGGCGGTGGAGGTGGCGGAGTTACGGTTGGGGACGCCATTACCGGGATCTGCCTGTTTACAGTCGCTCCACATGATGCGGTCCTCGATGTCACCTGTTCTACATACGTGACGGGTCCGGCTACGAATCCCATGTTTTCGAATTTGTTTTGCAGAGCGGCCAGTTCCGCCCTTGCTTTCACAAGTTCGGACGAGTCTCCTTCTCTACCATAATCCTCGTTTTCTAAGCAACTAGCTGCRRACTTCCGCTCCATTTCTTCGGCAGCGTCCATAATTYGTTGCAGCGTGTGGTTAATGGGAGAGAAGTTTTTGCGTAGCTTCCCCCGAATCRTTCTGTTACGTAGTCCATCAATGAACAGGTCTCAGCCTACCTGCTCGCCCCGCTCCGTTTTTACAAACATTCGATGAAATCTGTTCCGATACTCGGTAATGGATTCGAGTGGTTTCTGGACTCRATCCTTGATCATATAGAGTGCTTGTTCGGGGTGAACATAATCGAACTGGTTCATGAAATCCCGCTCGAATGTGGGAAGATCCACCCATACATAAGTGCTATACCAATGATGGGCGTCCCCCCCCATCCGCGCGGGGATGTTGATCTGAGCTTCATCGTTCGTATACCGCTGAGCTCAGAGCGTGGCCAACCATGCTCCGGCGAGATGGTGTGCTGGGTCAAATAAATAAAGATTTGGTGGGGCCACCGGGGCTCGCGCAGGCGGATTGGGCGGTTTATTGGGGATGATCGCTGAAGCGGTCGCTGCAGCAGCAGCCGCAGCCATGGCGCCTGTTCGCCTTGTGGCGGATGTTCGGCTTCGTGTATTTACAGGACTACGTCGGCGTGTATCACCAGTTGAAGGGCGCCTACGTGGAGCCAGATCGCCCCGCCTTAGCCAGTATTGAGTCTACAGACCCTATCGCCTAGCCACGTGGGGCTCCGATACCAACCTCACGGCCGACGCGTCTTCCTGATCGGAGTGAGATGTGGGCCTGGAAGTGCGAAAAGGGGTGTGCCAAGGATTTTTGGAAAGTGGGGGTGGAGTCCCAGGTCAGAACTGAGATCTCCTGTGACAAGGCTCA